CCATGCCCACTGTACTGAAGCAGGAAAAAAGAAGAGTCAGCTTCTCTTGGCTCTGAAAGTAGCTCTGTGGTGTCAGGAGTAGCTGCCTTTCACACGACTGATTTGCTGGAGCTGAAACGCGTACCACAAAATGAATTGCCTGAAGCTGAATTAAGGAGTTGCTAGGGAAAATACAATTTTTAGGAACTCATGAAGTTGAGTGAGGGCTGAAAGCTGCTGCACTGCTTGTGCAAGGGGTGCTAGGGGAGTGACCACCCCATGCTCTCCATTGCCAGTGTGCAGTGTCTCACTGGAACCAGATGCCCTCAAGACCTAGGTTCAAGTTACTTTGTTTTCGTAAGCCACTTTATGAGCTGATTTTCATGTTTTTCTGTATATCTTAAACCACCACTACCTTTGACAGTATCAGTCCTTGCATACCGATGCTCAGCAGCTCCCCTGAGCTGCCACTGCCCACAGGGACCCTCCCCATGCCCAGGGGACCAGGAAGGTGCTGCAGGGTTGCACAGGGACCGGAGCATCTCTCACACTGGGAGAGGCACTAACTGACCCAGAGGAAACTCCACCTGGACACAGCCGGGAAAGACCCGTGGCAGAACAGCACAAACATTGCCCAGTTTCCATTTTCCCTCCACGTGCTTTTTGATTTTTTTTTAATTTTTTTGGTGTTCGTCCTGCTATTGACAGGAAAGCAGGTCAACAAAGGGCACAGCCTTCCACATCCACCCCAGCAGATGTTACTTTCACAGCTGCTGTGGCAGAGGATGCTTCTCTACTGCTGGTGGGGTTTCTGCTGAAGTTCAGGGTACACTTCTCCACCACTCCCCCACGATGAATTTGTGTTACATGCTGGCAGAGCATCAGGAAGGACATTCAGCAGTGATTCAGATGTGGTTTCAAAGCACATCACATACCACAGCAATCTGTCATTCCCATGTAAGAGGGCAACATTACACACGCCGTGGAGCATCTGACCAGCAGCTCTTTCTGGACTGAAGAGCAGTTGGAGTGAATCAGCATCAGAAAACACCCAAAGGGCTCTCCCCCACTGCAAGGCTACAGCAGCACCAGGGCCAAGGCTTTCACAAACCCGAGAAACAGCTTTAAAATGGATTTCAGGGTGCACTTTGGCACACTGCCTCCCACTGACACAACACCCCCAGTTCCTTTCATGCGCTTTGTGGAGTAAAAGCTCACTTTCAGCAGAGTAGGGCTCCACAGTGGACAGAAGCCTGACCAGAAGGACCAGGTGTCATTGGGCAGGGAAGAGGAGAGAGGATGCTCTTCTGGCAGCAACAAGTCATCAGACGAACTCAGCTGCCAGAAACTGCACCGTGAGTTGCAAAATCCTCATTTTACTAAAACATAAAGCAGCTTACACATTCTTGACCCGACATTTGTCAGCCCCTGCTGAGCAGTTCAAAGGAGGTGCAAGACCATGACTAAGAAAAAGCAGCCAAAAGAACGAAGAGACGGCCCACTCTGCAAAGGAGAAAGGTCAACTCCAGCGTGTGGGGCTCCACCTACCCAGGAAACACTCCTACACCCATCCGAAGGCAAACCCGGGCCCAAAAACGCTTCTATGAAGCAGGGACCCGGCAGGGGGAAAGAGGATGCTCTTGGCACAGGAGCAGTGTTGTGCAGCCCATGGGATACTTAAAAGGGAGTACCAGCTTGGTAAGGGATGGGATGTTAATGCTGACACAGTTAAAAATAATTACAGCTGAAATTCTGTTGTCCAGGCTTACATCCAAGCAGTAAAAGATTTATAAAAAATGTCCAGGTATTTGCAAAACCCTTCTGAAGACACCTGGCGTGCTGCTGTTAGCCACCTTTCTCACCAGTCAGCTGCAGCAGGTAGGACTTACTCCTTCAGTCTTTTGCTTCCTGCGATTGCACATAATTTGTCAAACTACTTCCAAGAGCAAAAGGAGAAAGCATTTTCTTCCCTCCATCAGCAGAGAATTTATTTTCTTGAGTCCAGAAAGGAGTATACCACTATTTCTACACAAAAAAAAACCCCCATACTCTCCCTGTAAACCAAAGTGGAAAGCTCAATGCATCTCCTCCAACACAAGATTAAAAAAGTAATTAGATCATAGATCTAACAGAATAGATTTACTCTGTGGTATGACAGATATACGTAAGGTTTGCCTAAGATTTTTCAAATCCAATAGGTAACTTAATAGCCGACAACCAAAATGAGTGATTCTGTGGTGATTTTGAAAATTATTAATGGACTTTAGAAGCACTTAATGAAGAACCTTAAGTGCAATTTAGCCTTCATGGGACAGGAAATGAGTTGTTTCCAGGTGGGATGCAGCTCAGTATGCAAGCACTTGCCCCGAGATCACCTCTGGGGTTTCTGTTAGGCTGACAGGACTGTTACAGAAGTTTCCACTGAATAAAAGTGTTCTTTGGGGGCAAAATACACTCACAGTATCAATTCTTAACACTTAAATACCAACGTCTGATGGCTTTGCTGGGAATTCTCTTTATAGCTGAGTGGGAGCTCATACAACCGTTTTAATTCTCCAAGGAAAAGAAGGCTGCAGGGGCAGGCTCCTGCTCCTTCACCCCCTGCAAGCTCTTGGAAGTCCCATAGCTCAGCAGTGCTTAAAAGAACCGCATCGGGACACGTGTGAGGGGGTGCTCAGAAAGAAATCACTAGTACCTTACTATATAAACCTCTGTTCTCAACCTCAGGAACACTGTGTGCCACCCCTGCTCCCTTCCTTTCACCTCACTCCAAAAAGAACAGCCCCAAGTTATTGACAAGTTCCAGTCTAAACTAGATCTGAAAACCACAGTAAGTCAAAAGCTGGAGGCTGCTGATGAGAAGTGGCACAGAAATGCACAGAGAGCACTGTCTGCTCCCCTCCCATACAGCACCTGGGGAAAGCACCAAATAAAGGTCAGGATGCTGCAGGTCCGTGGGGTCCTTTAACTGCTCTTAGTCCATGAAAGCAGCATGGAAACTGGTGTACAGAGAAAAAAGAGGAATTTCAAAAGCTGAGAGAACAGTAGCAGATGTAGCCTACCAGCTCCCTGCTCGTGTGTTCTAGGTCCTCCACGCTTGGTCACCCTCAGAGCCATGCTATGACACCGAGGGAACTTTAGTCTGACAAAACCGCTTTCAAATCTCGCACAGAATTCTCCTTTACGTGCATAATGTTTATGAATCCAAGTAGGCAAAACAGCACTGCACTGGTTAAAAAGAGCCACATTTAGAGGTCTATTGCATTTTAGCTGCATATGTGGATAAATACATATCTTTAATTATTGTTGAAGAATTAAGAAAGATCAAAGTAGTCTAAATGCTATTTGATTGCCTTCTCTAAGCATATTACTTACAGCCACTGGCGCCTTCTCCTTATTGAAAGATTTCCATGTCACAGATGATCATCTGCCAGCAGCTTGCCCACCCCAAAGCTCAACAGCATGACCAAGAGTTTATTACAAGTTTTGTTCCATGTGTACATGCTGCTGAATGACATTTCGTGCTCCTGCTGCTGTACAATTTGCACGTGGATTTCTCTATGCACTGGGTTAACATACCTGAAGGAGTAACATTTAGAGAACAACTACCCAGTGACACAAAATTATGGTGAATTTTACTTCTGGGCTTTACATATTATTCCAGAATACACAGCATAAGTGTTCTCATCTCTTTTTCAATCCATAAGTTGCACTTGGCAAAAGTAAGTAGGAAAAGAAAAAAACAAATGTCTTTTTATTTAATTTTTCACTTTTTGAAAGCGTCTTACACAGGATTTGATCTTCAGAATACCTTGGAATCAGTAGAAAAAACTAACTGAACAGTTTGTTTTTACAATAGAAACCTTTCAGGAGTCAAAATCGAGACTAAAAAAATACATGCAAAACATACTCCTTTCAAAACACAACTTGAAACAAAGCACCAAACTACACAAATATGCAGAATGAAACGGCATTTAACATCACAGAAGTAGTCTTCATAAAAGGTGTAAAAGTCACCTATTCACTAGGCACTGTTCACTTGTTTAAACAGAAGAGACAATAAAAATATTGTCGACAAACTTGCAATTTCAACTCAAAGGCTGTAGCTAGAAATTCCTCTGTGTCATGCTTTAATAGCGACCTGGAAGAAAAAACAAAATACACTATTAGACTTCCAAGGACTGACAGTTCAAGAATTCTGTCTAAATTTACTGCCACCCCTCAAATCTGCATTTAATTTGGTGAGCCTTAAGATCTGTCTACGACAAAAGTCCACAAAGTGAGCAGTCGGTACAGCTCTGCCAGTGAGGTTCTTTGTGCAAAAACCCCCCAGCTCCTGCCCGACACCCAGGGCTGACGTTTTGGCAGAGGTCACAGTTTAACTGCTCCCTGGCGGCCAGCTGCCCCGCCTATCAGTAACAGCGATCACTTGTTTTCATTTGGACACGAAGGGTAAATATGAGAAGACGACTTATTCATTCACTGTATCCATTACAAGAGGATGCTAGGAATGCTGTTATTTTGGTAAATTTCTGCCATCAAAATGCAGCTTTACATTTCATGCAAATTAGCAATTCAGAAAAAAAGCGCTGTTTGGACCTCAGCCTCCTCTTCAACAAGTTGTGCTGGGAAATTTAGTTTCAGTGTTAGAACGGGCAAGGTTTGAGAATTTGGCCTTGCTGTCCTAGAGGTAACCAAACTGTCAAGGTACTACCAAGTCATGCTTTAAAAGTTTCAGAGAGAGAAGCAAGATCTCAAACTTTCTAGAGTGGTATTATCTAGTTTATTTTTTTGCAAACTAAATATTTGCTCTGTCCTCAAGGTTGCCAGTTGCTCAGTGAAATATTAAAGGGAACCATGGTTCAAAAAAAAACCACAACCCAACAAAACCAAGCCCCCAGATCCCTCTGAAGGGATTGCTGAAGTCAATCTTTGCTGAAGTCAATCTTTACGGACACAAAAGATCAGAAGAAGTAGTTCAGGTAAAGTGGAAATTTGCTTTTGACATGCAAGCTCTGAGACTACTTACGAGGTGAATAGGAACGAGATCTGGATCGAGATCTGTAGCCTCCTCGGCTGTAATACGGGGATGGCGATCTCCTCCTGTGAAAGAAGGCAAGACCAACAATCCCTTTGTTAAAGCCTGCAGCAGACAAGTGGCAGCAGCTTTATGTGGATATCTCTAACTTGATCCTGCTGTCAAGGGTTCACAAAGCTAACAAGCATATAAATAGCTGATCAACATTTCTATGGGATAGAAAATTGAAATATTTGCTGTTTAATACTCTTTTTTATTACCAGTCAGAGTAACGTTACTTTGGGCTATCAGAAAAAAAAAAATGCTCTCACATCCACAATTTGACTCGTGATTTTAGCGTTTCAAGCCAGGAGCATCACAAACAAACAGTGTAAGCCAAATCATACCTTAACTTTTCATCTACATTATTCTGAGATCAAGAGTTCATCTGACTAGCAATCAACAGAACCAACCCCTCCTCCAAATCCCTCCAACCCAGACACTCCCAACTTTTGCATTTCCTCGCCTAGTTCCACTAATCTCCCAATAAATGAAAATAAATCCACACACAGTCAAAACATTAACCTCTTGGCATAAAACACATGTTTTTCCTGCACAGAGCTGCACTAACTGGTCCCTATACTAACCTCACCCCTCTACACAGCAATGAGGGAACCTTTGAAATGAATTGTCCTGCTCAGTGATGAGCTGTAAGTACTCAGAATCCACCCAGTCCCTGTTAATGTGTTTAAAGATATCCTAATTTGATTCATAGCATACTCAAAAAATACCTCATATAGAAATATTTACACTGATGGCCAAACACTGAAAGCCTTCCTATCATACCTGTAAAACTGATCCCTGTCTTGAACAGCTCTCCACCCTCCGCCGCCGCCACCACCACCTCCTCTGTGGATACAAAAGCACAAGGACTTTTGAAAATTTTAAAAATAAACAAAAACTTCATTGTACAAACAAAAAGCATCATAGAGCATTAAAAAAATCAAGACAAGAAAATACTTATTCCTACACTGGATAATGCTGGATTACTTAATTATTTTTACTTTTATGTATTCCTGGAATTAGCTGGCTAAACTTAGTGTGAAGAAACAGTTAAAGACGCACGTTCCAGCTGACCAATATTGTATTTTACAACATCATACTCTTCCCAAGAGCAGCAATTTAAGATCAGTATACACTTCTAAGACCACTTCTATTCTCAGATCCTTATTAACTCAAGACAAGCAACTTCTCCATGAGGGTGGTGAGACACCGGCACAGGTTGCCCAAAGAGGTGGTGGAAGCCCCATTCCTTGAAGTTTTTACAGTCAGACTGGATGGGGCTCTGGGCAACCTGTTTTAGTGGAGGATGTCCCTGCCCATGGCGAGGAAGTTGGAACTAGATGATCTTTAAGGTCCCTTCTGACCCTGACAATTCTATGATTCTCCCCACCCCCTCCACCAATTAGCAAGATCAATTCACTGTCCTGAAGAAAAAGTTGATTCCGAGGTGGAAGCAGGAAAAAAATCCCACACCCTTATTTTTTAACACTTCATAGTCCTGTTTAAACAAGGGCATTTAAGAACTGACATCCAACTTCTCCTGATATAGAAGCTCTCTAGGACCAAAACAATACATTATATTATTTAACAATATTAAGTGGTTGGGCTGGTACGTCCACAGATTTAGATACAGTAAAGCATTACCAGGAGAGACTAAGTCAGGCTCACAGTAGCTCACGAGGCCATAAATGATATGAAGGACAAAGAACCCCAAAACATCATGCTTTCAATAAGTAGGTCTTCTTTTTTTAAGTAAGTCGCCAGTAGATAGCCAGTATGTGAGCTGGGTTTTTTAAGGTTATTTACAGATATTTCCAGACAAGATTAAGCATTTGTTGCTTATTTCAGTATCTGCTATGAAGAGACAGTCTAAAGGTTCTGCAGTGAGCTGTAAAACATTGCAGTGTCGTCTTCAGGTTTTTTTGGTTGTTTGGCTTTCTTTAAAAATAGGAAATGGAAGTTACTCTTGTTGGAATCATCAATATTCTGAGTATTTTCATGCCAAAGCTCTAGCTCACAATAGACACAGGATGGGAGAGCATGTAGGAAGGCCAGAACGTCGCCCAGCACGTGACTGCCTCAGAGCTGAACCAAAGCTCAGCCCTGAATTCTGGTTTGTTACACGAACTGAATTAGTCCATCTTCTCACTCCTTACTAGTCTGCTCCTCCTCATCCAATGCCTGTGCTCTTTATATGCAGTCATTATAATAATCTGCAACTATTCTCACTGTCAGGCATCCACAATTATGTAATTCCAACTTCTAGTAACGTTTTTACAAACATCTGAACCACTGTTCACTAGCAG